TTAAACTCAATGTTGATTCTGATTCCGCAGAACTGGGTTTGGGTGTGAAAAAGTACTTGTTGTTAACATTCTTTTTTCATTCGATTTTTCCAGTTACGAGTCCTTTTTTTGAAGCTAATCGTTTTGTTTTTCATTTTGTTTAGTTCTTTTTTCGTAACAGATTTAATGTTTAGTATAGAGCTTAGAAAAAATTCGCAGTGTGAGATAGGCAAGAAGTAAGGTGTGTAGCAACATCAGCACGGCAAAGGGCACTTCTTTAAAGGCAAGGAAGGGCAAAAATATTTTAAGTCAAGTGATAGCGATTGCTGTATGAGTCGTACGATTTTTGAATCAAGCACGGGCAACGCTGGGCTATGCTGCTAGTAATGGATAAAACAAAAACGGTTTGTACATTTTGTTATAGGAAATCAAGGATGATCCGGTTATTTAATGGTTAATGATTGGAATTGGTTAATAAAATTCAAATTCAGGATAGATTCGTTCACATTGACTTCACAGTGACTGCCTTGAGAAAGGCATGAACCCATTTCTACCATCTGGGGATAAAGAATAGAGCAGTTCGTGTCTGCCATGTAATGCAAAGGCGTGAAGTTGGGGATAACGGTACGACAGTTGGAGTTTGTTTGCCCTTTAGTGCAAAGGCATGAACCCATTTCTTCCAACTGAGAATAAACAGTAGTGCAGTTGAATCCCCCCCCTATAACGCAAAGAAATAAACCCATTTCTCCCAGATAGGAATAAACAGTAGTGCAATTGAATTCTCCCCTGTAGCGCAAAGGCATGAACCCATTTCTTCCAGATGGGAAAAAAGGAGTAGAACAGTTGGTGTTAGCCCAGTAATGATAAGCTATGAATCAATTTTTTCCAGGTTGGGACAAGCAGTAGGGCAACTGCAGCCTGTTTGCCTTGTAAGCCAAAGGCATGAGGTAGTTTCTTCCACCTAGGGATAAAGGGGAGTTCACCGAAAGTCAATAGCTTCATCTACCGCAGGGAAAGTTGGTTCTCTGTGTCATGCCAGAAAGTTTTTCTCAAAATCTATAGATCAACCATCCGTCGTTGCATGGAATATTGCTGTTATATATAATCTGGTGCCCCCGCTGTACGTCTCGAGGTCCTCGACAAAATCCAGAGACGAATATGCAATGGGGTAGGTCCTGAGCTGTCATCCTGTCTGCAGTCGCTTTCTCACTGACGTGCCGTGGCTTTTCTCTGTCTCTTCTACAAGTATTTTCACGGCAACTGTTCCGATGAGTTGCCTTGGCTGGTTCCAAGACTACATGAAATTAAGCGAACTACTAGGTTGGAATCTCGGTTCCACCCTTTCACTGTCGAAACATTTAAATATAACCACATCTTCTACTCAAACAGTTCCTTCTCTCGCACTTCCCTTCTATGGAATTCCCTTCCTCTTGCTTGCTTCCCTGATAACTATAATCTTCAAATATTCAAGTGTAATGTCAATCAACATACATTGATCTTATTCTTCAACGTCCTCTGTATCCTTTCCTCAAACGCGCCCCCTTTACTCTTGTTCCCAATCCTCTGTAACCCCTTGCGTGCTAGTGACACTCCTGCCTTGGTGAATTGCTTAAAAAAAGTACACTGAAATTTCATGTTTCTAAAAAAAAAAAATATATATATATATATATATATATATATATATATATATATATATATATATATATATATATATACATACAAGTATATAATTGGTATATACGGAATGAATTCCAATAACCAACAATTACTATTCTTAAAAGAGTGCTCAATACAAAGTAGAGCAGATATAATTATTTTTTATAAAAAAATATAACATAAGTATGTTATAAAATCACTACAAAAATAACCATTTTGTTTCAACACACTCTGTGTCTTATCAAGCGATCACTTGATAAGACACAGTGTGTTGAAACAAAATGGCTATTTTGTAGTGATTTTATAACATACTTATGTTATATTTTTTTTATAAAAAATAATTATATATATATATATATATATATATATATATGTATGTATGTATGTATGTGTGTGTGTGTGTGTGTGTGTGTGTTAAAGAAAAACAAAAACCGTTGATGGAATCAACGGACAACTTGTCAAACCTTAAACCCTTCTCCAGAGAAAGTGGCGAATAAAAACGATAATACCGAAAAAAGAAAGAGAAAAAACGACCTAGAAGCAAACTTACCTGCTCAGTAAAGTAAATTAAAGTGCTCGAAGCCTAGATTTCCTAGACCAAACAAAAAAAACGTTTTCCAACGTTAAATCTTATGAAAGGATGGCCCTAGTCGTAACTCGTGTTTCACGCTCACGGGATCGTTAGACGATTTGAATTGAAATGAAAAGGGGTGTGCGGGCTTTATATAACACGTGAATCGCCCTAGGGCAGCGCGGATAAAAAAATAAATAAATAAAAGCTAAAAATAATAAATTAATTAAAAGAAAACCGTGGTTAACCACACCTACACAGGGGAAAAAGAAAATAGGCAAAGAAAGAAACCATGTGGGTGGGCTAAACTACTAACTGTTGCACTGTAGGGTCAGGTTCAGTGAAAAAAAATCACCAATAAACCAATACGCTTGTCCGGTGGTAGGTGACATGATAGGTATTTTATGTTATGTCTACATTCTGCTAATATATATATATATATATATATATATATATATATATATATATATATATATATATGTCTGTGTATGTTGGTGTTGGTACATATGTATGCATGTATCTGTTTATATGTCAATGAGTAATGCATTATCCTGCCAAAGTTCTGACAAGAATTTTGCAATGGAGAAGCTGCTGTTGTATCAAGTGAGGTGCTTAAAGTCAAGGCCAATTTATTGCACATGTGGTTTAGATAAGTGAGAAAATTGCTTACTGTTCTTGTCAGCTGATGTTCTCCCCTTTGGGTAACATTTAAATGAAACCCTTCAGCACAACATTTTCTGGTGGCCATAGAATATTGAAGAACATCATAAAAAATAAAGACAAACAAAAAATACACTTAGGCTATTTGATAGTATAAAATTCCACAACTATTATTTACCAAAAATGACTCAAAGAATATTTCTCGGGTTTTATCTTGCAAAGTTGGGGCATCTGGTAGGCTAATGTTAAAGCAGACGCCAGAGACAACTACTATAGAGTTATTGGCAATTACTGAGACAGTAGAAAGTAGTTGATCAAAGAAGAGAAATATAAACTTTGGACAGTTTGTCCGTAAATTTGATTCTGGAGTACAACAATATATTGGAAAGATACATTAAAAAATTAAACAGACATTGTCAGTTCGAATTTCACATAACTTTTTTTTATGACAGAGTGGGGAAAAGAACTATGCGTCGTGTGATGCGTTTTATCCTTCATTGGACTAAAGTAATGTTTATGTTGTTGTGATTACACACGCGAATGAAGGAGAGAAGACGCTGAAATCATGAATTTAAATTCTTCTTTTAAAATGTCTTTTGGGTATAGTGTATAACCAATTTCATTTAGTTTCTTTTTCTTTTAGAAACCTAGACACAAATTTACTGTGCCTGAACTAGCGATGAAAGCACATTCTAATAGTCTTTGTCTTAGTAAATTGCTTTCTCTTCTAATTAAAGTAACATTTTTAAAATCAAAATTATGGTCAGTCTCATTACAGTGACCAACTAATGCATTTAATGTGTTGTTTTGTAAAAGATCCCTTTTTTGTTCATGTAATCTTTTATCTAAATTCCATTGCACTAAAGAAGGGGAGTTGGTAGATATTATTGCTTTGTTTTTTACAGCTTATCAACCTTTTGCAAGTTATTTAAAGACAGAAAATATTTTAGATTTTAAGAATTCGGGGAGATAATAATAATTTACTAATACACGTCTTACATTGTTGAGGGATGGGGGAAGAGGTGGATTCATGCCTTTCATAAGAGTATTTCTGTTAAAGTGAATATAGCGAATTTGACTGGAATTGGTACTCAGCTGTCAGGGTTGTGATTTTGCCGCTTATATATATATATATATATATATATATATATATATATATATATATATGTATGTGTGTGTGTGTGTGTGTGTGTGTGTCTTTGTCTGTGTGTGTGTGTCTCTGTGTGTGTGTACAGGTTTTTAAAGAAACTGTACTCACTTTATGACCTCGTGGTCAGTTTGAATACTTATAAACACGCATTTAATTTCATTTAATATTTAATTTAAACCGTTAACCTTCATTGTAAGTCAATAAACATTAATATTTCTTAATTCTAACCATTAATCTATTTTGCGAGTCAATAAACACTGCACTTATTGTCATTGAAAGAGTGAGTACATTTTTGGGACAGCATATATATATATATATATATATAGTTTTAAGGTGTACTATATTTATGGGATAAAGTGCTCAATATCATAGATAGAGCGTATGTATATATAAAAGTGAACTTTGAAGTCAACACTCAGTGGCCGGATGATTGAGTCTAGCATGAAACAGCCTGTCGCCTCTTAGCGTTCACTTTTATATATATATATATATATATATATATATATATATATATATATATATATGTGTGTGTGTGTGTGTATGTATAAAGACAGAGAGAGAGTCTTTCCTGCTGACGTCATTATTTTACAACCACTCTTTAGTACGATGAAGCAGGAGCTGCTGCAGGTAGATATCACTAATGTATGTGTTACGTTCTGTCCGAAAATAAAAACACAATTAAGTAATGAGGTATATACTACACTTTGATCCCAACCAGAAGGCTGAGTAAAAGCATGCTAATCGGTAACTTTACTCCTCCCGTCCAGCCCAGTGGCGGGATGTGACATTTTGATATCTACTATTCTTTAATGCAATGGAAATTACACAAAAATGTTTATATGAACACAAAAGGAATCTTTTACAAAACAACGCATTAAATTCATTAGTTGCTCAGTGTAATGATTCGGAATATAATTTTGATTTAAATGATGACACTTTAATTAAAAGAGAAAGCAATTTACTAAGACAAAAAATGTTTATAAAGTGCTTTAAACGTTTGTAAAGAAAGTGCTTTAACCGCTAATTCATAATAAATAATATCACGTCGAGATAACAACTACATCAACACCAATTTATCAACTTCGTTACAACTCCAAGCTCCAGCACCAAGCTCCAACTCCAAGCTCCAGCCCCAAGCTGGAGAAGAGGCAAAAGCTGACTAGTAGCCCCTTATAAATAGCTTCTTCTAGTTGATGGAGCTCATCAACCCCGGAAGGCAGTCCCTCGAGAGGAAGGAAACACATTTGCAGTCATAGCCAAACATGGAAAAGAGTTTTTTCTTTGGATTTACTTCCTTAACAGTGACAAACTTTTGGCAACTGTTGCAACCAAGCCGGCCACAAATGTAATGTCCTGTATTCCTTTGGATCTTGTCAGTATAGCCGAGGGAGGAAGGAACATGGTTTAGGCAGTGCACGGCCTACATTATGAAAATTTTACAAATATTAGTTGATTAATATCAATTTCATTGTGAAAACATTGACTTGTATAATAAAATCTATCAGAGTAATAATTCTAGTATTTAATAACAATAGAAAACTGATCCCCCAAATAGAAATATTTTAGAAAATTTTATTAATATTTAATGTAAATATATCATTTGTTGACTAATACCAATTTCATTGACTTGTATAATAAAATCTGATGTTTTTGTATTCATGTCACCTCATACAAGGCAATAAAACCACTAAGACGCAAGGGTGGAGGTGAGAGAATATGAGAGAAATGAGAGAATATGAGAAAAAACACTATTAAGGAGTGAGAACGATAAAAGAACAAGAATTAAAAAGACAGAAGATAAGGGTTGACGTTGAATTTAAAGTTTTGAAGATCGAAGTTAACTGGGAAACAAGAAGCTAGATGAGAGTTCCACAAGCGATAAGTGTGAGAGAAGAAACTGTTAGCATAAAACCTACGGTTACATCTATCCATTTCAACTGTAAATTGATGAGACCTTGCCACCAATCTAGAACTGCGCTTAAATTCATAAAATCTAGGTACCATAGCGGAAATTAAAAGAAAAAACTTGTAGTCCCAACAAATGATTTAATGGAAATATTTCGACTAGCAGTTGCCAGTGTTGATGGCGTTTACAACACGATTTTTTCCTTGATTTGAATTCAGTTTTCAGTTTCTTTGTACTGTTTTTACTCAAATTAAGTAGTGACCAAGACTGGCAATTGCTAGTCGAAATATTTCCATAAAAATAAATCATTCGTTGAAACTACAAGTTTTTTTTCTTTTAATTATGCAACTACCAACGGAGACAAGCATTCTAACTTTGATACCATAACGAAAAGTTCACCAGAACAATTACCATGAAAGTATTTATAGTGAAAGACCGGGGAAGTTACGTTATGGCGGTGGGAAAGTGACTGAAGCCAAGATGCCAGGTCAGGACCAGTGACATTGCAGATTCTTCTTTTTGTATATATGTAACCAGACGAGATGTGGCAGCAATATTCAAAGCAAGGACGAGTGATAGACTTATAAATATATGAGATAGATTCTGTCAAGAAAAAATGTCTAACACGACACGGTAAACCAACTTTTGATTTAATATAATATTTCCATTAATATTATGTAGTGAAATAATTCTAGGGTGGATCAATTTGTTGGTTAACAATAGAAAACTGATCCCTCAATTTATGTTCAGCAGATGGTGTTGCATTCTACAGTAACTACATGATTGTGACTTTTTTCTTTTGTTATTTTTAAGTTTTGTAAGCAAGCGATGTTATGCATTTTATATAAAAGCTATATGCCCTTTCATATTTCATATTTCCCTATCTTTTTTTAATGTAACATGACCATTTAAGACGTGGCTGATCATGTCTCTCCACAACTTCCTATTTTTGTTGCTATGTTAGTCTCTTGGCTTTTCCTCCAAGTTCCTGTTTCGCCATCTATTTACCTAAGTCCGTTAGGTAAGTTAGCTGCTGCTTACCTCAACCCCTCTTGCCTTCAATATGTCCTGTGAGTGTCAAATTCTTTAAGCCTTCTTTTCTCGTTATGAATCCTAGACGTTTCAACGGTCTCTTTTGCTAATATTTATGCTTTCTGGTAAGTAGCGAGTTTAATTTATCAATGTTTTATAGTAACTCATTTGCAATATAATTTTTTAAAAAAATGACATAAAAATTTTCTACAAATAATTAACTTCTATTTTCTTCTCAAACAATTTATATTTAAGTGTAAAATCATGTTTTCCTGGTGTCATCAATTCTGGAAAAGGCACATAAAATGTAAAAATATATTAAAATAACTGTTGGCAATTATTAATTATTTTTCATAAAATCTTGTCAATAATAATTTCATGATAAAATGCAGAGGGTAAATGTTAAAATAGAAGACGATAGTAAAAAGATAGAAAACTTTCCTCAAGACAGTTTGTGATAAAAAATTTTAAGATACAATGGCAATAGAAAATTGAAATCGCCATAATTATTTATTTTCAACTAATTTTTATTTACTCTTATTTTTG